CGAAATTTAGAGCTCAAAATCCGTGCCTCTTAATAATTCACGGAGCACCTGGAGCAAAGAGTGGTACGGTCCAAACTGTAGTGACCGTACCGTGTCCGACACCCCTGAATTAAAGTGACACCGTAACAACAAAACTTGAGGTCCGGTACCAGGTCACCTGACCAACACTCACCTGCCACCGTGACACGAGCAGAAGCCGATTCAGTTCCTTGACTGTTGGTGGCTGTACACGCATACAGGCCACTGGCGGAGGCGGTCACCTGGGTCAGGGTTAGAGTACCGGTGCCGGGTTGCCATTGGATACCGGCAGTGCTGGTGAGGTCGAGCTGTGCGCCATCCTTCCGCCAGGTAATGTGTGGTAGAGGATTGCCCGCACCCGTACAGTGCAGCTGTACTGTGGAGCCAACGAGAGCCATCTGGTCGCTGGGGGGTGTGGAGATTCGGGCGGAGTCGGACGGAGCTGTACACACACAGTAGACACACATACATACAGACATACATACAGACGTACACACACACACACACGCGCACACACACACACACACACACACACACACACACACACAAACACAAAGAAGGTAAGAAAAGGGTTGAAAGGTGAGGTATGATCAGCCATAGTGAAATTGACATCAATGAAGCAACTCCACCTCTACTACTAGTACATACCCTGTCTGGCCGACCACAGCACACCAGCAACATGATTACCAGTAAGTTGTGCATGCGGTGGTGGTGGAGGTGGAATAGCTTCATTGATAAACAGGCCTAATGATGCTGCTTACCCTTTGAGGACAACTTGACATCACTTAGTTTAATAGTATTTCTAGAGATTCAAGGAGAAACCTTTTCTTTGTGTGGTCTATCAATACATGTATGAGGTGCATGTGTGCGTGTGTGTGTATGTGTGTGTGTGTGTGTGTGTGTGTGTGTGTGTTGTGTGTGTGTGTGTGTGTGTGTGTATGTGTGTGTGTGTGTGTGTGTGTGTGTGTGTGTGTGTGTGTGT